GCTGTTGCTTTCTAATTCCTTAAGATGTGTTATTAGGTTGCTTGTTTGATGTTTTCTACTTTCCTCTTAGTACTGCTTTCACTGGATCACATAGGTTTTGGTATTTTGTGTTTGCATTTCATTTGTTTCAAGATACTTTCGAATTTCCTTCTTAATTTCTTCATTGACCCACTGGCCATCCAGGAGCATATTATTTAATTTCCATGTGTTTGTGTAGTTTCCAGAATTTCTCTTGTAATTGATTTCTAGTTGTATTCCATTGTGGTCAGAGAAGATACTTGATATAATTTCATATTTTTTTGAATGTTTTAAGACTTGTTCTGTGGCCTAACATATGGTGTATTTTTGGGAATGATTCATGTGATCTGTTAGGTCCATTTGGTCTATAGTGCAGATTAAATCATTTCTTTGTTGGTTTTCCGTCTGGATGATCTGTCCAATGCTGAAAGTAGAGTGTTGAAGTCTCCAGCTGTGATTGTATTGGGGTCTGTCTTTCCCTTTAGTTCTAATATTTGCTTTGTATATCTCAGTGCTCCAGTGTTGGGTGCATATATATTTATAATTGTTACATCATCTTGCTGAATTGACCCTTTGACCTTCTTTGTCTCTTTTTATAGTTTTTGTCTTGAAATCTATTTAGTCTGATTAAGTATAGCTGCTTCTGCTCTGCTCTTTTTTGGTTTCCATTTGCATGGAATATCTTTTTCCATTTCTTTATTTTCTTTTTTTGAGACGGAGTTTTGCTCTTGTTGCCCAGGCTGGAGTGCAGTGGCGTGACCTCGGCTCACCACAACCTCTGCCTCCCATGTTCAAGTGATCCTCCTGCCTCAGCCTCCCAAGTAACTGGGATTACAGACAGGCATGCTCCACCACACCTGGCTAATTTTTTTGTATTTTTAGTAGAGTCGGGGTTTCTCCATGTTGGTGAGGCTGGTCTGAAACTCCTGACCTCAGGTGATCTGCCTGCCTCAGCCTCCCAAAATGCTGAGATTACAGGTGTGAGCCACCATGCCCAGCTATTTCTTTATTTTCATTTGATGTGTGTCTTTATAGGTGAGGTGTGTTTCTTGTAGGCAACACATTGTTGGGTCTGGCTTTTTTATTTATTCAGCCACTGTGTCTTTTGACTGGAGAGTTTAGTCCATTTACATTCAGTGTTGTTACTGATAAGTAAGGATTTACTCCTGCCATTTTGTTGTTTTTGGCTGTTTTGTGATCTTTTCTTCTTTCTTTCCTTCCTTCCTGTCTTCATTTTAGTGAAGGTAATTTTTCTCTGGTGGTATGTTTTAATTTCTTTTTTATGTATCTGTTATATGTTGGACTTTCTTTATAGGGCAGTGAAAACATTTGAAAATTGCTTGTGGAGATTGTTCTTCAATTCGGTGAATATACCAAAAATCGTTGAATTGTATATTTTAAATGGGTGAATTATATGCTATGTGAATTATTTATTAATAATACCATTAAAAATATCAAGAACCTTTCTTTTTCTTTTTCTTTTTTTTTTTTGAAACAGAGTCTTGCTCTGTCGCCCAGGCTGAAGTGCAGTGGTGCGATCTCAGCTCGCTGCAACCTCCACCTTCTGGCTTCAAGTGATTCTCCTGCCTCAGCCTCCTGAGTAGCTGGGACTACAGGCACACGCCACCATGCCCAGCTACTTTTTGTATTTTTAGTAGAGACGGGGTTTCACCATATTGGCCAGGCTGGTCTTGAAGTCCTGACCTCGTGATCCGCTTGCCTCAGCCTCCCAAAGTGCTGGGATTACAGGCATGAGCCACTGTGCCCGGCTTCTGAAGAACCTTTCATATGGCAAAAGATACCATAAACCATATTAAAGAAAACCCAGACTTGGATTAATTATATGTAACATATAAAACTGTTAAAGGGTTAGTACCTGAAACACAAAAGGAATTTCTAAACATCAATAAGAAGTAGACTAACACCCTATTAGTAAATTACCAGAGGATTCAGGCAGTTCACTTAAGAATGGGCCTAAATGGCTGGTTAAAAAAATGGAAAGATGCTCTGTTTCACGGAGATACAATTTAAAATAATAGAGATATCATTTCACATCTGTCTTTTTGGACCAAATTAATATGCCTTAGGAAATCAAGTGTCGGCACAAATCTCATGGAATGGAGCAGGCTCCTTCATTTCTGGGGAAGTGTAAACTGGTTGATCTCCTTGGAGAGTGGTCTGACAGTATCAGGTTGAAGACGGGCCCTACCCTGTGACCTTGCTGTACTACAGCCACTCTTGTACCTGCTGCAATGCCCTTTGTGGGTGAAACAGTGACAGGAACCCAGCTGGACCCCTCAGACTGGGATAACTCAACCACAGAACAATTTTTACATATATACATCAGTGAAATTCAGCGAACTAGATCAACAGAGATCAACAGAGATGTCAGGAAAACGAATGCTGAGTGAAAATGGCATGGAAAATGTGTTACTGTTGATTTTTAGGGGCTGTTGATGCATCCTTTTGTCTCTGTAAACGCTGATACAGACTTTTTTAAAAATTGCTTTTTGCTAATGTTGTTGCAGTCTGCTCATATTTGTAAGTGCTCATTGTGTGCCAGCTGCTGTTCTAGGGGTCAGGGGCCAGGGCTGTAGCCGTGAACAAGACAGGCAAAATGTCTGCTCTCATTGGGCTCATTAATGAGGGATGACAGACAGTAAACAAGTAGGAAAATAATTGTGCTCTTGGTTGATGCTAAACAATATGAAGGAAATAAAGCAGGGGCTGAGGGTGACCAGGGAAGGCGTGGTCTGAGGAGCTGACTGTTAAACAGAGACTTGCATTTTTTTTTTTTTTTAATTGAGACATAGTCTCACTCTGTCGCTCAGGCTGGAGTGCAGTGGTGTGATCTTGGCTCATTGCAACCTCTGCCTCCCAGGTTCAAGCGATTCTCCTACCTCAGCCTCCCGAGTAGCTGGGATTACAGGTGTGCACCACTACATCTGGCTAATTTTTTAATTTTTAGTAGAGGTGGGGTTTTGCTGTGTTCGCCAGGCTGGTCTTGAACTCCTGACCTCAAGTGATCCACTCGCCTCAGCCTCCCAAAGTGCTGGGATTACAAGTGTGAGCCCCTGCACCCAGCCATAGACGTGCGTTTTAAGAAGAACAAATGTGGAAATGTTTGGGAAAAGCATCCAGGCAGATGCAAAGGTCTTCAGCTAGATCATGGTCAAAAATGGCAAGAAGCATTAAATACTTAGGAATAAACTTAATAAAAGAAGTGCAAACTTAACACTGTGAAAACAGAAAACATTGTTGAAATAAAGAAGCCAAATAGACGGAAAGGCATCCGAGGCTCTCGGACTAACATTGTTAAGAGAGCAGTACTCCCCAAACCCATCACAGATTCAGTGCAATCCCTGCCAGTGTCCCAGCCGATTTCCTTGCAGAAATTGACAAGATGGATCCTGAAGAATAGCAAGTCCAGCGTGGCCAAAGCCCAGGAGGGAGAAGGGGAAGTGGATGGCGATGCAGTCAGGGAGATTGGCAGGGCTTCTGAGTCCTGAAAACTGAAAACCCTGTGGGCCATGACAGGGAGCTATCACCGACCTCTTCTAGGTCTGGTGGAAGCCTTAGGAGCTTTTAAGCAAGGCTGGGATGGCTATGAGCGATATGGCAATGAACAGGACAGAATGTTGAATAAGTAGAATTCAGCTTTTCAGTGGCAGGAAATGAGAGCATCCTTAGTTTCTTTCTGTACATGTTGTTGTGTATTTGTGTCATATTACTGACCCACCTAAACCTTTTCTTAGGTGATACGGAAGTAACAGTATTTATTATAGAATATTTAGAAGATCGAGGCTGGGTATGGTGACTCACACTTGTAATCCCAGAACTTTGGGAGGCTGAGGCAGGAGGATTGCTTGAGGCCAGGAGTTCAGGAGCAGCCTGGGCAACATAGCGAGACCGCATCTCTCTTTTTTTTTTTTTTTTTTTTTTTTGAGACGGAGTCTTGCTCTGTGGCCAAGGCTGGAGTGCAGTGGCATGACCTCAGCTCACTGCAAGCTCTGCCTCCCGGGTTCATACCCATTCTCCTGCCTCAGCCTCCCGAGTAGCTGGGACTACAGGTGCCTGCCACCATGCCTGGCTAATTTTTTGTATTTTTAGTAGAGATGGGGTTTCACCATGTTAGCCAGGATGGTCTCAATCTCCTGACCTCGTGATCCACCCGCCTCGGCCTCCCAAAGTGCTGAGATTACAGGGTGAGCCACCGTGCCCGGCCGTGAGACCCCATCTCTTAAAAAGTAATAAATTAGCTGGGTATGGTGGTTCACGCCTGTAATCCCAGCACTTTGGGGGGCCGAGGCGGGCAGATTACGAGGTCAGGAGTTAGAGAGTAGCCTGGCCAATATGGTGAAACCCCGTCTCTACTAAAAATACAAAAATTAACTGGGTGGGGCGGCACACGCCTGTAGTCCCAGCTACTTGGGAGGCTGAGGTGGGAGAATCGCTTGAACCCAGGAGGTAGAGGTTGCAGTGAGCCAAGACTACACCATTGCTCCAGCCTGGATGACAGAGTGAGACTCTGTCTCAAAAAAAAAAAAAAAAGGAATAAATTAGTCGGGCATAGTGGTACATACCTTTAGACCTAGCTACTCAGGAGGCTGAGGTGGGAGGATAGCTTGAGCCTAGGAGTTCAAGGCTGCAGTGAGCTATGATCACACCACTGCACTCCAGCCTGGGTGACAGAGCAAGAGACCCTGTTTTTTAAAACACACACACACACAAAATATTTAGAAGATTCAAACTGAAAGAGAATATGTATTCAGGATCCTGCCACTTTGAGGTAATGGCAATTAACATTTAGCATTTTTTCCTTCTAGTCTTTTGAATGAAGTTATGAGGAGACATTTCTCAAATTCAGTAATGAGTGCCCATCCTGCCGAGCTCACCCCCTCAAAACCTCAAAAGAAAACAAAAGAATCATAGCTTTCCTGTTGGAAAGTCAGTCCTTAAGGCTTCTAATTAATTTCTTTCAGGTGGAGCTGATCAGAATAATGTTCAGCATCAACCCCCTGGAGAACCTGAAGGTGTACATCAGCAGTCGGCCTCCCCTGGTGGTCTTCATGATCAGCGTGAGTGCCATGGCCATAGCTTTTCTGACCCTGGGCTACTTCTTCAAAATCAAGGAGATTAAATCACCAGAAATGGCAGAGGTACAGTATGTTCTGACTTCTCCTGGGCTGGCTGGCCCTTGTGGAGTGGGGCAACACTCTGTGGCTTGTCATATAGCTTTCTTGGGTTTTGGACTTTCTCTCCTAGTGAGAAAGGTCAGTATTTATTCAGAATTTTCTGTTTTCCATCTCCCCAGGACTCAACTTTGTTAGGAAATACCTAGATAGGTATTGTTCAATTTAAATATGCTACCAGTTTCAGTTAGACTATTTCAGCAGTGAAACAGATGCATTTTGGAGAGTACATTTGTAAAATGATCTGTGTCAAAAAGCTGGAGAACTCACCTTTTTAATATTCCATCTCAAATGGGTTCATTGCTGTTTTAGAAAACTGAACATTTGGTATTTTAAAACCACATATCATCATAGAGTTTTATCAGCTGTACTAATCGTTTTTTTCATGAGATAAGGAATCTTAAAGAAATTCAAAACAGGATCTAATTACCAAATATTTTTGTTTTTTGAGATGGAGTCTCGTTCTGTCACCCAGTCTGGAGTGCAGTGGCGTCTCGGCTCACTGCAACCCCCACCTCCCGGGGTCAAGCGATTTTCCTGCCTCAGCCTCCTGAGTAGCTGGGATTACAGGTGCCCACCACCATGTCTGGCTAATTGTTGTCTTTTTAGTAGAGATGGGGTTTCGCTGTGTTGGCCAGGCTGGTCTTGAACTCCTGACCTCAGGTGATCCACCCATCTCAGCCTCCCCAAGTGCTGAGATTACCTGCGTGAGCCACTACACCCAGCCTAATTCCTGTCTTTTAATAGATTCCTTGGGTGCTTTCTCTTACTCTTTTTCCTTTTTCTTGGGTTTGTTGTTGGGTGGAGGTGGGGGTGGGGGTGGGGCTGGGAGTGTGTGGTTGCCACATTGAGTGTGCCTTGCAATGGAGAGGAGAGTTCTGTTCCATGTAATTGAGATCATAGCTTTCTCTTGAGCTCTAGGGCATTCTAGATCTTAAGTGATCTTGGCAAAACGAACCGCCTACACATGTGAACTCTTTCTAGCACAGTTCAAGTAACAAGTTTTAGCTATTTCTACCTTGTAACCCTTTCAAAGAGTTTGTTACTAAGAGACATACTGGCTGGCTTCATTCTCCCTCTTTGCTGACCCTGCCTCAATCTTTAAAGGCTGTGAAAACAGGCTGCCCCCACATCAGGGCTGAAAATGAATATTCTACTCAAAACTAAAGCTCTGCAGCCTCCTGCCATTTCTTTCCTGCAGATCTTGAGTCCATGTTGAGCACTTGGCCAAGGCCAGTGGTTACAATGAAGCCTGGATAATTAGCCCTTAATAATCCAAATTAGGCCTGGCATTGGCTTAATTTAGCTGGCTGTTCAACGTGGACTCCAGCTCTGTAGGAACGCATTGTTGAGATGCTACAGAACTTTGGTTATGATTAGTTTCGTGATTTTTATTTCAAATGAGGATCCTAAGTTGTAGGAAAGGCAGTGGTGTATGGGAAACATTTGGGGCTGTGAATCAGAACTTAATGCCGATTCTACCTTGAACTAGAATTGGAGAGTCCGTAATTTGCCCTGGGCCTCAGTTTCTTCATGTCTAGGACTATGAAGGACTGAGACTAGAATGTTCGTTTTCAGCCCTAATATACTAGAATGGTCAGTTGAGTTTGTAGGTGTTAGGGAAATGTAATTTAATAGATCCAGTTGCAGTCTTACTAAATGTCACATACAGTTAAACTGATGCTGTAAGGGTAGACTTACTGGGCTGGTTAGGGGTTGCTCAGATGACTTTTTTTTTGTTTATTTGAGATGGAATGTCACTCTGACACCCAGGCTGAGGCTGGAGTTCAGTGGCACGATCTTGGCTTGCTGGGGCCTCTGACCCACTTCAAATGATTTTCGTGCCTCAGCCTTCCAAGTAGCTGGGACTACAGGCACACACCACCACACCTGGCTGATTATTGTATTTTTAGTAGAAACTGTGGTTTCACCATGTTGCTCAGGCTGGTCTTGAACTCCTGACCTCAAATGATCCACCCACCTTGGCCTCCCAAAGTGCTGGAATTACAGGTGCAAGCCACTGCACCTGGCCCCTTCCTTTTTGAAATTGTTGCTGCTCTAAGGTGTCATCAAAAGTCCATAAGAAGGGGGGCAGTGTCCCAAATGAGTATTAGTATTCACTGCTGTTTCGCGTTCTGGAGAAAGAGAGCAAGATATATGGAACTGATCTTTTGGGACATTATTTTAAGGTGACTTTATTTAAAAAAAAAAAAAGAATTGTAATTGCAAAATGAGTTCGCATTAATGCTTTTATTCAAGCTTTCTTTTCCAGTTTGGTTCTGAGGCTAGATCATTTTCTCTATGTGTAATACGCTGGATTTTTTTAAAAGAAGATTTTCTTGAATAAATTGATTTGATTTCACAGTTTATTGAGTATCTTGTGCCAGTGAAGAGTTCATATTTTAGGTTATAAATATAAAAGTGATGAGGAAAGCCACGTTGTGCTGCCTGTGAGGAGGTTGGTGGCCGTGTTGTCATGATCTTAAATGACCAGCTCTGAATTGTAGTTTGCTGATGTGCTGCAGTGCCACACCAGGGTCTTACCTGTGTTCCCGCAGCGGGAGGCAGGCGCTGTTCACACTCATTTCTTTTTCTTTCACTTCCCCAAAGGATTGGAATACTTTTCTGCTACGGTTCAATGATTTGGACCTGTGTGTATCAGAGAATGAAACGCTAAAGCATCTCACAAATGACACCACAACTCCGGAAAGCACAATGACCAGCGGGCAGGCCCGAGCTTCCACCCAGTCCCCCCAGGCCCTGGAGGACTCGGGCCCTGTGAATATCTCAGTCGCAATCACCCTAACCCTGGACCCACTGAAACCCTTCGGAGGGTATTCCCGCAACGTCACCCATCTGTACTCAACCATCTTAGGGCATCAGATTGGACTTTCAGGTATGCAGTAGCCACTCTCCATTCAGGCTCCTCAAGCAACCACTGTTACAAAAAGAGGAGGCACCGTGTGTGTTTTTACTGACTATATTGTACTAAATTGTAGTCTTGCACATGTGTCTTTTTTTGTTGAGTTTGAACTACATGAACCATTTCTACACCATCATTACATGGTAAAGTACCTGGCTTGAAGTAGCTTCTCAAAAGCCTGTAGGAACAAGAAACTGTGAAAAAACTATAAGGCCTGTCTAATATTTACAAACGTAATTTTTATTCAGGCTTATCCTGTTGGAGTTTTCATTATTTACTACGCATCTTCTATTGCTATTATAGATTTTTTAATGGCCATTGTTAGTCCAACACTGTGCTGAGCTGCTGGGAAGAACTAGAAAATGGCTAAGATGACTGGGCGCAGTGGCTCGTGCATGTAATCCCAGCACTTTGGGAGGCCAAGGTGGGTGGATTGCCTCAGCTCAGGAGTTTGAGACCAGCCTGGGCAACGTGGTGAAACCCCATCACTACTAAAATACAAAAATTTGGCCAGGTGCAGTGGCTCACACCTGTAATCCCAGCACTTTGGGAGGCCAAGGTGGTCAGATCACAAGGTCAGGAGTTCGAGACCAGCCTGGCCAATATGGCAAAACCCCATCTCTACTAAAAATACAAAAATTAGCCAGGCATGGTGGCGGGCACCTGCAGTCCCAGCTACTTGGGAGACTGAGGCAGGAGAGGCTACTTGGGAGACTGAGCTTGAACCCGGGAGGCAGAGGTTGCAGTGAGTTAAGAATCACACCACTGCACTCCAGCCTGGGCGACAGAGAGAGACTCTGTCTCCAAAAAAAAAAAAAATTGCCGGGCATGCAGGCATGGTGATGCGCTGCACTTGTAGTCCCAGCTACTCAGGAGGCTGAGGCAGGAGAATTGTTTGAACCCGAGAGGTGGAGGTTGCGGTGAGCTGAGATCATACCACTGCACTCCAGCCTGCGCGACAGAGCGAGACTCCATCTCAAAAAAAGAAAAGAAAATGCCTAAGATGGGCCCGGGTGCAGTGGCTCACGCCTGTAATCCCAGCACTTTGGGAGGCCAAGGTGGGTGGATCACTTGAGGTCAGGAGTTCAAGACTTGTCTGGCCAACATGGGGAAACCCTATCTCTACTAAAAATACAAAAAAAATTAGCTGGACATGGTGGCGGGTGCCTGTGATCCCAGCTACTCTGGAGACTGAGGTGGGAGAATCACTTGAGCTCTGGAGGCAGAGGCTGCAGTGAGCCGAGATCACACCACTGCACTCCAGTCTAGGCAACAAAGTGAGACTTCACCTCAAAAAAAAAAAAAACCTAAGATGTAGTCTCTTCCTTTTGGAATTTTGGGGTTATGGAAGAGACAAAGATAAACGTGAGTTAATGTTTATCAAGCACTTATAATAGTCCTCTCACAAAGGAAATGCTATGAAAGTGCTTGATAAGGGATATGAAAAATACATGCTTATAAAATGTGGAGCACTGCCCTGTGACCAGTACTAAACCCATGACAGACTGTAAGCGACGCAGGAGAAGGGCTAGAAGGCAGTGGAAGCTGGAATAATTGGGAAAGGCTTCATGTGGGACACCTGGGCCTTGGAAGAATAACCTTTTGTTCTTTGGTTACCAAAAGGCTTTTTAAAAAGTTCTTAGGCTGGGTGCAGTGGGTCATGCCTGTAATCCCAGCACATTGAGAGGCTGAGGCAGGAGGATTGAATGAGCTCAGGTGTTGAAGACCAACCTGGGCACATAGCAAACACTTGTCTTTATGAAGAATATAAAAAATTAGCCAGGTGTCGTGGCGTGCACCTGTAGTCCCAGCTGCTTGTGAGGCTGAGGTGGGAGGATTGCTTGAACCTGGGAGGTCGAGGCTACAGTGAGCTAAGATTGTACCACTGCACTCCAGCCTGGTCAACAGAGTGAGACCCTGTCTCAAAAAACACACAAAAAACAAACAAACAAACAAAAAAACAAGAAACAAATAAAAAGTCCTTGAAGGAATTTAAGTGCCCACCAGCCTCCTGTTGGCGGTTAGAGGTGAGAATGTTCCCATAATAATCAGGTGACTTCTGGGTTTCCCGTGTAGCAGCAAGTGGACCTATTTCTTATGGCATGGCATAAGGACACCTTCGGGTTTTTTTTTTACTTTTTTTTATTACTGTTATTTTCAGATGGAGTCTCACTCTGTCACCCAGGTTGGAGTGCAGTGGCACAATCTTGGCTCACTGCAACCTCTGTCTCCTGGGTTCAAGCGACTCTTCTGCTTCAGACTCCTGAGTAGCTGGGATTACAGGCTCACGCCACCATGCCCAGCTAATTTTGTATTTTTAGCGGAGACAGGATTTTACCATGTTGGCCAGGCTGGTCTTGAACTTCGACTTCAAATGATCTGCCCGCCTTAGCCTCCCAAAGTGCTGGGATTATAGGCATGAGCCACCATGCCTGGCTATTGTTTCATTTTAATTTTTAAAATTTATTTTTTGAGACAGTCTTGATCTGTCGCCAGGCTAGAGTGCAGTGGTGTGATCATAGCTCACTGCAGCCGCAAACTCCTGGGCTCAAGTGATCCTCCCTAGTACCTGGGACCACAGGTGTGCACCAGTATACCTGGCTGATTTTTTAAAGTTTTTTATAGAGACAGAGTCTTGCTATCACGTTCAGGCTGGTCGTGAATTCCCGGCCTCAAGTAATCCACCTGCCTCAGCCTTCTAAAGTCAAAGTGCTGGGACTATAGATGTGAACCACTGTGCCTGGCAATACGTTGGTTTTAATTTAAGCTTCATCACTTGCCTTTCTTAACTCTGAAACCCTCTGACCTCTGTTTGTTCATATGTAAAAGGGGGACAACTGCATTTCTTTGGTCATGTTCATGGGAGAAGAGTAAATTTTAAGTGAAATATGTGTAAAAAATGTTTGAAAATGGCTAGACGGGTGTGCAGAAATGGTGGGGATAATTCACCCAGCCCAAGTTTTTCACCTCTTATCTGCCCGAGGTCTGGTTTGGCATCTCCAGGCCATGACTGGAAAGCGGCCACTTCCTTTGCTGCTTTGTAGCTCTGAGTTGAGCAGGCCTCATGGTCAGGGTCAGGACTGCTCTTGTTCCTCAGATCCCACAAAGGCAGGTTCCTGGGCTGATAGATGATTCCTGTGTAGGTTTGATTTCAGGGTTTATTTGTATGCCAGAGAATAACAAATACGTGGTTCTTTATAAAAAAACGATTTCTCTTTCATAGGCAGGGAAGCCCACGAGGAGATAAACATCACCTTCACCCTGCCTACAGCGTGGAGCTCAGACGACTGCGCCCTCCACGGTCACTGTGAGCAGGTGGTGTTCACAGCCTGCATGACCCTCACGGCCAGCCCTGGGGTGTTCCCCGTCACTGTGTAAGTGTACCCGGCGCCCGGTGAACACACGTGACAAGCCCCACTTGCCTGAGTACAGCTGGGCTGCTTCGGCCATAAATTCTCAGGATGGCTTCCTTCACATTTCTTTATAGAATTATCTCTACTCAGACCTATCTAAAGGATTATTTAATTTGTCTAAAAGATTATTTAATTAGGAATTCTAAAGATAGAACTTCCGCGAATAAAATCAAAAGTTAGTGTCCCCTCGAGGCAGTAAAAGCACCTGGATGTTGTTGGACATTCATAGGCTGTCTTTTCCTGCAGAAGTAGAAGCAGCAAGTTACAGAAAAGAGGCTCACTATGGCTGGGTGCAGTGACTGAGGCCTGTGATCCCAGCACTGTGGGAGGCTGAGGTGGGAGGATCCCTTGAGCCCCGGAGTTGAAGACCAGCCTGGACAACATATAGGGAGACCCTGTCTCTGTTTAAAAAAAAGAAAAGAGAAAGGAGACTCTCTAAAGATAAAGGTTTTCAGCCAGGTGCAGTGTCTCATGCCTATAATCCGAGCACTTTGGGAGGCCAAGGTAGGGGGATCACCTGAGGTCAGGAGTTCAAGACCAGCCTGGCCAACATGGTGAAACCCTATCTCTACTAAAAATACAAAAATTAACTGGGCCTGGTGGCACATGTCTGTAATCCCAGCTACTCGGAGGCTAAGGCAGGAGAATCGCTTGAACCTGGGAGGCAGAGGTTGCAGTGAGCCGAGATCGTGCCACTGCACTCCAGCCTGGGTGACAGCAAGACTCTGTCTCAAAAAAGTAAATAAATAAAACAAAGATAAACATTTGTTTATCTCCATTATCCAGAAAGATAGTTTAAAATCGTCGATTTAAGTTTATCTTGATTTTAGTTTTATTTATTTATTTATTTATTTATTTATTTAATTTTTTTTTTTGAGATGGAGTCTAGCTCTGTTGCCCAGGCTGGAGTGCAGTGGCCGGATCTCAGCTCACTGCAAGCCCCGCCTCCCGGGTTCACGCCATTCTCCTGCCTCAGCCTCCCGAGTAGCTGGGATTACAGGCGCCCGCCACCTCGCCCGGCTAATTCTTTTTGTATTTTAGTAGAGACGGGGTTTCACCGTGTTAGCCAGGATGGTCTCGATCTCCTGAACTCGTGATCCGCCCGTCTCGGCCTCCCAAAGTGCTGGGATTACAGGCTTGAGCCACCGCGCCCAGCCTGATTTTAGTTTTAAATCAAGTATAAATCAAAACTTATTTTCTGTTAAACAGTTACTAATTTTAAACTGTAACATTTTAAATCATTTCCCGTTAAATAATTACTAACTTTAATTTTACCTACTAATTTGAAAGTTAGTTTTAAAATCAAATATAAATTGAACTTTATTTTCCATTAAACAATTAAGGTTTTTGAAACTTCCTTCAGTGTTTTTGAGCAGCATTCAGTGTTATTGTTTTGCCTTTTAGGTGTTTTTTGTTTTGTTTTTTTGTTTTTTTGTTTTTGTCTCTCCTGTCTGTAAAGGAGATAATTATCTATAAATAAATAGGTGAAATACATAAGATACAGCCTATTTAAAAGAATTCTGTGGTGAATTCTTTTTAAATAAGAATTATCCTGGGATTTGTCTATTTTAGACATTTGGAGGTTTGTAGGACAAGATCAGATTAAGTTAAACATTACTTTGTGTTACAGTAACTGATACAGAATTTTGTAGGTAAAGTTTCCAGTTGTAACTAAGTGATATGCTTTGGGCTGGGTGCAATGGCTCACGCCTGTAAATCCCAACTACTTGAGAGGCTGAGGCAGGAGAATCAGTTCAACTTGGGAGGTGGAGGTTTCAGTGAGCCAAGGTCACACCAGCCCGGGCAACAAAGCGAGACTCTGTCTCAAAAAAAAGAAAAGATGATATGGTTTAGCTGTCTCCCCACCCAAATCTCATTTTGAATTGTAGTTCCCATAATCCCCTTGTCGTGGGAAGGACCCAGTGGGAGGTAATTGAATCATGGAGGTGGTTACCCCCATGCTGCTGTACTCATGATAGTAAGTGAGTTCCCATGAGACATGATGGTTTTATAAGGGGTTTTCCACCTTTTATTCAGCACTACTCTTTGCTGCCCCATGTAAAGAAGGATGTGTTTGCTTCCCCTTCTGCCGTGATTGTAAGTTTCCTGAGGCTTCCCCGACCATGCTGAACTGTGAGTCAATTAAGCCTCTTTCCTTTATAAATTACCCAGTCCTGGATATGTCTTTATTAGCAGTGTGATAATGGACTAATATACTAAGAGTTTAGCTAATTTGAGAAGATAGGCTTACAAGGAGCTTATGTCCTTTGCATCACATGTGAGAGGACTGTAGGTTGAATTCTGAAGGCAGAAATCCAACACCCAAACTCCTAAATGTCAGACACCTATTTATTTTTCTGTTATATTTTTATTTTTTTAAAAAGACTCTCAAACTAAAATATGATGGTATTTATGTCAAAGAAGCATGAACATGTAAGTTACATTTTTCCTTTCCACGTGTATTGGCCGTGTTTGATGTTTTACCAGCCGCTGTGGGGGTGACACAAGTGAATGACTCAGGCCACTGAGCACGTGTCTTTCCTCCTTCTCTTCCCTTGCAGACAGCCACCACACTGTGTTCCTGACACATACAGCAACGCCACGCTCTGGTACAAGATCTTCACAACTGCCAGAGATGCCAACACAAAATACGCGCAAGATTACAATCCTTTCTGGTGTTATAAGGGGGCCATTGGAAAAGTCTATCATGCTTTAAATCCCAAGCTTACAGTGATTGTTCCAGATGTAAGTGAGAAAAATCGTGTGTGTGTGTGTGCGCGCGTCTGCGTGCATATGCACATGTGTGTGCATGTGCTGCAACTGTTGTATAGGCCCTGCTAACTTCCCTGGGTAAGCGTCTCCTTTGCCACGTTAGATTTCCAGGTGAGTTGGGACACTAGGCGGAGTGGTGGATGCTTGGAAAAACATGCCACCCATTGGTTAAGAAAAATCTGGTTCTTCTCTTCCTTTTCTCTGTTGTTCAGCAGCAGTTATTTCTTGAACAACTGCCTAATCCCTGGGGGGTTACAAGGGATCCTTGTATAAATATTATCTTAGAGGATGTTCACAGACGTTCATAGAAGACTGTCTAGTGTCCATGTGAACAAAAATAGTACTGCTTAGAGTTCTGAAAGGTAGAAGTAAGTAGTAGTAGGAGATGAATCTTCGACTAGAGAGTGAGGCCTGAATAGTATTTAACTAAACCAAGAGACAAGGAGAAGAAAATACTTACCTATCTCGTCTAGCAGTTGTGTGCTAGCTCAGCTTCCTACTTAGACTTGAGCCCACTTATTTTTTTAGAGACGGGATCTTGCTCTGTCACCCAGATTGGGCTCTAGTGGCACAATCATGGCTCACTGCAGCTTCCGACTCTTGGGCTGAAGCTTCATGGGTGGCTGGGACTACAGATGCATGTCCCATGCTGGGATAATTTTTAAACTTTTTGTAGAGACAGGGTCTTACTGTGTTGCCCAGGCTGGTCTTGAACCCCTGGCCTCAAGCGATCCTCCTGCCTTGGCCTCCGAAATTGCTGGGATGACAGGTATGAGTCGCCGCACCCGGCCTGAGCCCACTTTTTAACACTGCTTTGATATTTTATAAATGTGTTCCTTTCTGGCAGTGTGTGTTAGCTGGATCTCTCTTCTTTTGGCCTAGCCCTTTGTCCTTTTCTTTTTTTCTTTATTTTTATTTATTTATTTATTTATTTTTTGAGATGGAGTCACGCTCTGTCGTCCAGGCTGGAGTGCAGTGGCACAATCTCGGTTCACTGCAACCTCTGCCTCCTGGGTTGAAGTGATTCTCCTGCCTCAGCCTCCAAAGCAGCTGGGATTACAGGCACCTGCCACCACGCCCAGCTAATTTTTGTATTTTTAGTACAGATGGGGTTTTGCCATGTTGGCCAGGTTGGTGTTGAATTCCTGACCTCAGGTGATCCTCCCACCTCAGCCTCCCAAAGTGCTGGGATTATAGGCATGAGCCATTGCGCCCAGCCTTTGCCCTTTTCTGGGGCTCATTTGTAGGCCAGGGTCCTGCAGGAGCCAGCTGTGGAGGTCAGGCTGGATGGTGGGCTGTGGCCCTTCATGCCTGACCAAGGGCACTCCCTGCCTGTGTTTGGGGCTTGGGGGTTGGTAAAGCAGTGTATTGAGAAGACTGAGCTGCCCCGCTATGTTGTAAGTGACCTGCAGGGAATCCAGGGCTGACCTGAGGCCTGGAGATACTAGAGGGTAAAGGAATGGAAGCATGTCTGGGGTCCCTCTAGTAACTTGCAGGGCCTGGGGATTGACTGCATGTGGGAGGTCAAAGGGCAGTGAATCAAGGATGACCTCAGCATTTTCATCCAGGGACGTAGAGAAAAGCAGGAGGAGGGAGGCAACCCTGGGGAGAGGTGAGGGGCCGAGGCCTTCCTGGTGGTGGCATACCCAGTAGTTAGGAATGCAGCCTCAGCTGTCCGCCATGCAGCCTGAGGGCAGTCCCATGACGAGGATGTGTCCAGAAAGGAGTGGGGCTTAAAGACGGAGTGTCTGCAGCCTTTGCAGGGGAGAAGCCTGCTGGAGGGGCAGGGTTCAGGCAGTGTGGGGGTGCAGAAGACAGGGCAGAGGACAGCCCTAGGGCTAGGAAGGTGTGGGTGCTCTCCAACAGAGGCTCAGGAGCACCATGTCCTCACTTAATGAGATCCAGCTTTGGTCACTTAGGAGACAAAACGAGAAACCTCCTCTTGCAGCTTAAGAAGAAAAGTTGTGGCAAGTCTGGAGGTTGTCAGTCCTATCTCTCAAAACCCAGCATTAAAACCTTTCAGTCACTCAGAGCAGATGTTTCTGATTTTTTTCTCTTCTTTATTTAGGATGACCGTTCATTAATAAATTTGCATCTCATGCACACCAGTTACTTCCTCTTTGTGATGGTGATAACGATGTTTTGCTATGCTGTTATCAAGGGCAGACCCAGCAAATTGCGTCAGAGCAATCCTGAATTTTGTCCCGAGAAGGTGAGCTGTGGATGGGGTCCAGGCCAGCATTTTGCCAGAGGTCTCTGTATACAGAAAGTCCCAGTTATCCTTACTCCATTATTGTGGGTGGCACCTTTCATCCAAAGAAATGACAGTTATCCCTCAATATCCGAGGAGGATTGGTTCCAGGACCCTGGTGGATACCAAAATTCATGAATGTCCAAATCCCTTCTGTAAAATGGTACAATATTTGCATATCACCTCTGCACATCCTCTGTAACTTTTTTTTTTTTTTTGAAGATGGAGTCTCACTCTGTCACCCAGGCTGGAGTGCAGTGGGACTATCTTGGCTCACTGCAGCCTCCGCCTCCCGGGCTCAAGCAATTCTCCTACCCCAGCCTCCTGAGTAACTGGGATTGCAGTCGCATGCCACCATGCCCCACTAATTGTTTGCGTTTTTAGTAGAGACAGGGTCTCACCATGTTGGCCAGGTTGGTCTCAAACTCCTGACCTCAAGTGATCCACCCGCCTTGGCCTCCCAAAGTGCTGGAATTACAGGTGTGAGCCACTGGGCCCAGGTCATCCTCTGTAACTTTAATCTCTAGTTTACTTTTTTTTTTTTTTGAGACAGTTTTGCTCTGTCACCAAGGCTGGAGTGCAGTGGCGTGATCTCCGTTTACTGCAACCTCTGCCTCCTGGGCTCAAGTGATTCTCCTGCCTCAGCCTTGAGAGTAGTTGGGATTACAGGCGTACGCCACCACACTTAGCTAGTTTTTGTATTTTTAGTAGAGACAGGGTTTCACCATGTTGGCCAGGCTAGTCTCGAACTGCTGATGTCAAGTGATCCACCTGCCTTGGCCTCCCAAAGTTCTGGGATCACAGGCGTGAGCCACTGTGCCCAGCTTCTAGGTTACTTATAATACCTAATACAATGTAAATACTATGTAAATAGTTGTTACAGTGTATTTTAAAAACTTGTATTATTTTTATTGTTGTATTCGTATGTATTGGTTTTTTTCTTCTGAGTATTTTTGCTGTTTTTAATTTTTTTTTTTTTTTTTTTAGACAGGGTCTTGCTTTGTCACCCAGGCTGGAGTGGAGTGGTGCGATCATAGCTCATAACACAATCATAGTTCACTGCAGCCTTGACCTCCCAGGCTCAAGCGATCCTCAGCCTCCTGAGTAGCTGGGACCACAGGCATGCATCACCACACCTGCTTAATTTTTGTATTTTTTGAAAAGATGGGGTTTTGCCACGTTGCCTAGACTGGTCTTGAATTCCTGGGCTCAAGCGATCTACCCACCTTGACCTCTCAAAGATTACAGTTGATTACAGGTGTGAGCCACCATGCCCAGCCCTCTTTTGTGTATTTTTGGTTGAATCTGTGGGTATGAAACCCACAATTACAGAAGGCCAACTGTAGTTTCTGCCTTCATTAGAAGTGTCTTTACCCTCAACCTAAACTATGGTGTTGGATTTTTAATCATATACCCAAACCTCCATCACCATTAAAGGGAGTGACTTGGCAGTTGTTCTCAAGTCTCCACTGGAGCACTACTGACCCTGGGTAGCTGCCTCCTCTGTAGTTCCATCAGCATAAGAAGTCTTCTAACAGAATGTTTATCAAGGTTTAAAGACAGTTACCTCAGCTGGGTGCACCTGTAATCCCAGGACTTTTGGGAGACTGAGGCAGGAGGATCACTTGAGCCTAGGAGTTCAAGACCAGCTTGGGCAACATGGTGAGACCCCATCTCTACTAAAAGTTAAAAAAATTAGCCACATGTAATGGTGCATGCCTGTATTCCAAGCTACTGGGGAGGTTGAGGTAGGAGGATTGCTTGAGCCTAGGAGTTGGAAACTATAGTAACCTATGATTGCACCACTGCACTCCAGCCTGGACAACAGAGCGAGACTGTGTCTCAAAAAAACAAAAACCAGTTAATTCTGTCTCTGCACAGTGGTTCCAGATGGGCTGCATCTTGCAGGAGACTTTGAGATTTCTAGTAATTTCTTCCTAGGTGAGATTTTCTTCTTAGGGATTTAGTAACTTCACTGTCTGGTTGATATGTGCAATCAGTGTGGCGTCCTGGTCTTTGGGTAGGGGCTGAGTTAACCTGGGCTTCCCTTTTTGACTGGTTTCCTTGGCTTGCTGTCTTCCAGGTGGCTTTGGCTGAAGCCTAATTCCACAGCTCCTTGTTTTCTGAGAGAGACTGAGAGAACCATAATCCTTGCCTGCTGAACCCAGCCTGGGCCTGGACGCTCTGTGAATACATTATCTTGCGATGTTGGGTTATTCCAGCCAAAGACATTTCAAGTGCCTGTAACTGATTTGTACATATTTATAAAATTCTATTCAGAAATTGGTCCAATAATGCACGTGCTTTGCCCTGGGTGCAGCCAGAGCCCTTCAGCCCTACCTTGGACTTGAGGACCTACCTGATGGGATGTTTCCACATGTCTCTAGAGAAGGATTTCCTGGATCTAGCTGCGTTGGAGCTGGTCACGACGATGTTTTCACTAAGGTCACGGGTGCGTTGCGTCACTGGTGGGGTTGAAGTTTGGTTTGGTTCTTGTTTCGGCCCAGTATGTAGAGAACGTTTGAAACAGTCTGCACCTTTGATACAGTATTGCATTTCCAAAGCCACCAATCCATTTTGTGGATTTTATGTGTCTGTGGCTTAATAATCATAGTAACAACAATAGTACCTTTTTCTCCATTTTGCTTGCAGGAAACATACCTAAGTTTTTTTTGTTTGTTTATTTTTTTCCTTTATAAAGAAAAAATAAAATAGTCTCATTTTAATACTACTCTAGTTAGGACAGACTTGTGCTTTTATCCTGAGTAAAATGTTAAATATTTAAGTCACGTACATGATAAAAATCTAAGTTTCATTTTCCACATGGATGACCAGGAACCTGGTCTTGTTGGAGTTGGCACAGAAGGTTCTACTGTCTTCTTGGCCGCTCTTGTCCCTCCCTTCTGTTGTCAAAGTTAAAGCAGCCTCTTCACTCAAAAGGGCTTCAAAATGTAAGTGGCTCTAGAGTTAGAGTGACCGTTTGCTGTTCTGCTTTCTGGAATGCAGATGACAGTATGGAAAGAAAGAATAATTCTAATAGTTGTAATAGGAAAGGATTTCTTTCTCTTTCTTTCTTTCTTTCTTTCTTTCTTTCTTTCTTTCTTTCTTTCTTTCTTTCTTTCTTTCTTTCTTTCTTTCAAGAGTGGGTGGATTTCTCCTTTTTTTTGCTTTTTATGTGACTAACATATCTTCAGGAGGAAAATGGCAACTAGTACATCAGGAAGAGTTTGAAAACAGTGCCTGTGAAGTTTGAAGGAATGCAATTCTAATTTGCCATTTATCAGGGAAAACCAAAAGCATTTTTCTTGTAACTTTTCTTTTTTTTTTTTTGAGACAGGGTCTTGCTCTGTCTGTCCCTCAGGCTGGAGCATAGCTCAGTGCAGCCTCCAACTCCTGGGCTCAAGCAATCCTCCCACTTTAGCCTCCTGAGTAGCTGGGACTACAGGCGTGTGCCACCACGCCTGGCTAGTTTTTAAATTTTTTTTGTAGAGACAAGGTCTCCCTCTGTTGCCCAGGCTGGTCTGGAACTCCTCCTAGCTTCAAATGATCCTCTCACCTCGGCCTCCCCAAATCCTGGGATTCCAGGTGTCAGCCACCACACTCGGCCCTCTTATAACGTTTTGTTTGATTGTCTAGTTCCTCTGTCTCTTTTTCCTTCTAATCCTTATTCATTTAAGCAAAATTGTACATTATCTTTTTCAGTGCTTTCATGTTGTATTCTTACTATTTTTCTTAATAACTTTTTGCCTTAATAGCTCATTGTCACTAATAACTTCTGTGTTCTCCCAGGCAATGTTATAACAGAAGGGCACTGAAAACCTTGGACATGACCATGAGTACTTCCTCTCCTTAATTCTAGGTTTGTAGTCTGTTTTGAATTAGGATTAGTTCCTTCATTCTGAAATACATTGGCTTAGAACATTTTATCCCGGGCATTTTTGAATGGAAAACAGTTGCGGGCTTTTATTGAAGATTGTTAAAATAATCACCATAGTAACTTGATATGTTAGTATTCCTCTTTTTCCTTTTCGTATGTTTCAAGCGCAGTAATCATACTTGTCTATCCAGTTTCTTTGTACGATACGAGTTGCTTACACGATGCATGGCTCACTTATTAATTTAGTTTTCTCCTTAGAGACTTTGAGACCCTTAGGACACAAGATTGAGAAAGAGCCCTGTGGCTTGGCTCTAGAAACGCTGTTATCATTAGGACCGTCAGATTTTGGATTAAGCTGCTATTGAATTAATAAAATCCCAATGAAGCAGAGTTATAGGGATAGATTTATAGCTGGCAGAGTGGTATCGAAGGAGAAAGACAGTGAAAAAGCCAATTTCACTGGTTCGTTCAGTCCAGCTCGTTGCTAATATTAGTTACCCTTGTTTTAACGACAGAGTGTGGCTGGACTCTGTAGCCAGGGGAGGGACGACACTGTTAGATGTGAGGAAAGGAAGTGCCAAAAATGCCTGGACAGATGGCTCGTCCTGAGCCCAGGACACACACTTTAAAATCCCAGCATTCACCTAAGCAAGTACTTCTCAAAGATCTTACAGAAACACAGAGTCAATCAGTTTTATAAAGGAAGGCTGCAGGGAGAGAGGAGGCCTGGGGGCCTGGGTGAAGAGGCCTAGGACCTGAAGAGACTCCAGCGAGTCTCAGAAAGCCCAGGGGACCTGTCACCATCTGAGCACTTCCCAGGCTCAATGCTCAGCCGGAGTTTGCTGGTGGACCTCAGGATTCGAAGTGTGTGACAGACAGGGTGCTCTTGCTGTTCAGGGCGGCCCCGTGCAGGAGCACTAGCTCACCCTCAGGCATCTCGGACTGGAGGGCCAGCAGAAGGTCAGCAACTTACTCTTAAAATGATTGTTTCAGATCATATTGATCTCTTTCCTTTTTCCTTTTGTCCTTTCACTGTATGACTTGAATCAGTTTTGATTCTATTTGTAAGTGTTTCTTGTCATGAGGCACCTGCCATGTCTGTTGCGTTTTCCTCGGCAGCATGTAGGGCTTCAGCTTCCTGGGTTTTCACCCCTCCTGCAGGCACTGTGGGGTCCTGAGGGCCAGCGGGTCCATTTCACCTCTTGCTGCATGATGGTCAGTAGCTGATCTGTTACGGCATTCACTTCCAGATTAATTTTCTGTGTTTGAAATATGTGCATATGTGCTTTACAGAATAAAACATCTGAATTTATTTGCTCTGCGTCTTCTTCCTCCAACCAGATGGTGTTTTGTTTTGTTTTTGTTTTTGTTTTTTGAGACGGAGTCTCACTGTGTCGCCTAGGCTAGAGTGCAGTGGCGCAATCTCGGCTCACTGCAAGCTCCACCTCCCGGGTTCACGCCATTCTTCTCCCTCAGCCTCCCGAGTAGCTGGGACTACAGGCGCCCGCCACCATGCCCGGCTAATTTTTTGTATTTTTAGTAGAGACGGGGTTTCACTGTGTTAGCCAGGATGGTCTCGATCTTCTGACCTTGTGATCTGCCCGCCTCGGCCTCCCAAAGTGCTGGGATTACAGGCGTGAGCCCCCGCGCCCGGCCCGGATGGGTGTTTTCTAAGGGAAGAACATGTGTGGTCAGCAGCTGAGGGTTTTTTGCAAGCTGCTCCTTTGAAATGTCGCCTGTCATTTGGACAAGGGGTGGTCATTGTTCCGATGAAGGCAGCCTCACCAAGCACATGCGTCTTCCCCCGAGGGTACAAAGTCTCCTGTAGCTTGCTGGACCAACAAGTGCTTGCAGGCCTGACCCTAATCCTGCCCCAAGGAAGTAAATAATAAATACAGACCAGCGGGGAGCATTGAATAGACGTAGGAGTTCCAGGACACCCCCTCGGTGACATAAGCCCTCAGCGTGCACTAAGCCTGTATGCCCAACCACAGGTGCCCCGCCCGCTCTGTGGTCTCCTGTTGCAGAGCTCTGGCCGGCTCTAGACCTCCTTTGGCAAGACAGTGCATCCTCCACAGTTTCCATAGCTAAAGGGAGATTAGTGTTCACTAATACAAATCCTTCCCCTTTCCAGCAGCTAGAGGCTCCATGCCCCTTCCCCTCCCTCCCCAGCAGGTGCTGGGGTCGCGAGGTCAGTCTCATGGTTGAGGAAGGTGATACTCAATGAGCTCTTTGTTCCTTCCACCTCCACCTCTCCCTGCCTCCTGCCTGTAACAGGCAAACTGCTTGGAGCGTGGTGTTATTGCCTGTGCTCTCTCCTTGGACTCATATATTCAATGTGTGTGTGATGATTCACCTCCCATCTCAGTACAGAATATGCCTTGGAGAAGAACAGCTCACATCTCTCTGCTGTCTTAGCCTGGTAAAACCTGATACGTGCCAGGTTCTCAAGTCAGATCAGAGGTTTTGCTTTAAAACCATTTCATTTTCCCGGTGGGCCCCCTGTGCTTACAGTTCCCTCAGACTCACAGACGTGCAAGGATTCCCCCAAAAGTGGAATGAACGCACAGACTATAGCACTCCAGAGTCTACTCGAGGTTATTGTGAACTCAGTTGCTGTCTCAAAGAAACATATCCTTGCCTGGAGTTCAAGACCAGACTGGCCAACATAGTGAAACCCTGTCTTTACTGATGAAAATATAAAAATTAGCTGGGCATGGTGGCGGGCGCCTGTAGTCCCAGCTACTCGGGAGGCTGAGGCAGGAGAATCACTTGAACCCAGGAGGCAGAGGTTGCAGTGAGCTGAGATCGCGCCACTGCACCCCAGCCTGGGAAACAGAGCAAGACTTTGTCTCAAAAAAATAAAATGAGTGTATCCCTACCCATTTGGGAGCCCACATTCTTTCCACCTATGAAGACCACGCACACTTCACATATCACGCTAGTTGTTGATGATGGGGGAACTAGGGTGGTTTGAAAAATTGCAAGAAGAGGCTGGCCACGGTGCTCACACCTGGAGTCCCAGCACTTGGGGAGGCCAAGGCGGGAGGATCGCTTGAGCTAAGGAGTTTGAGACCACCGTGGGCAACCCCGGCTTTGCGAAAAATACAAAAATTAGCCAGGCATGGTGGTGGCACGTGACTGTAGTCCCAGCTACTTGGGAGGCTGAAGAGGGAGGACCACTTGAACCTGGGAAGTCAAGGCTGCACTGAGTTATGATCACACTCCGGCACTCGAGCCTCCTGGGCGACAGGGTGAGACCCTGTCTCAAAAAAAAAAAAAAAAAAATTGCTAGAAGACTTGGCAGTAAATCATGCTACATCCAAGGGGAAAGAAGCAGGGGTTGAGTTTTGCTGTTGACATTCAGCCTCTTTTCTCCAAATTCTTTTTTCTTTTCTTTCTTTCCTTCTCTCTCTCTCTCTCTCTGTCTCTGACTCTGTCTCTCTCTCTCTCCCTCCTCTTCTTTCTTTTTTTGAGACAGGGCCTCACTCTGTCACCCAGGAGGCTGGAATGTAGTGGTTCATTCATGGCTCACTGTAACCTTGAACTGCTGGGTTTAAGCAATCCTCCCGCCTCTGCCTCTCGAGCAGCTGGGACCACAGGTGCACATCACCATGCCTGGATAATTTTTTACATTTTTTGTAGAGACAGGGTCTTGCTATATTTCCCAGGCTGGTCTTGAACTCCTGTGCTCAAACGATTCTCCTACCTCGGCCTCCCCAAAGTGCTGGGATTACAGGCGTTCACCACCACACCTGGTGCCTCTGAACTCTTTTGCTCATTTAATAACAAACATTTCCCGGGATCCTCTTATTGCCGGTTGCTGTTCTAAGAGCTGGGTATACAACAGTTCCCAGACAGTGCTTGCCCTCTTGGCACTTACCTTCTAGTCGTAAGGAAACAAATACAACATCTGATGGCCGATCGTGGGGAGACGGAGAGGAGCAGGATAGAGAGGATGGACATGACACTTCAGCTGAAGTGCTCACAGAAGGCGTCTTGGGGCCGGGCGCGGTGGCTCACGCCTATCATCCCAGCATTTTGGGAGGCTGAGGTGGGAGGATCACCTGAGGTCAGGAGTTCGAGACCTGCCTGATCAACATGGCGAAACCCTGTCTCTACTACAAATACAACAATTAGCTCAGCGTGATGGCTCATGCCTGTAATCCCAGCTACTTGGGAGGCTGAGGCAGGAGAATCACTTGAACCCAGGAGGCGGAGGTTGCAGTGAGCCAAGATCACACCACTGTACTCTGTACTCTGCCTGGGTGACAGAACAGACCTTGCCTGAAAAAAAAAAAAAAAGACATCTTGAAAGAGGCGCCATTTGTAGACGAATATGGGGAGTTCTAGACCCAGGGACTCCATGTGGAGGCGGCAGGCTGTGCTCATGGTGCACAGAAGCCATGCTCAGGTGTCCTGGGTCATTGCTAAGTGGAGACTAGAAGTCCTGTAGGGACGTGTCTCCCCATCTGAGGACAGGATTCCCCCAGGCTGCTGCCACAGGGACCCCAGGGGGTGGTCAGCAAGAGGCCTCACAGGGAGACACTCCTCCAGAGATGGTGCAAGAAGGGCACTCCCAGAGCTGAAGCACAGCATGCTGGGTGTGAGCTTAGACCCTGACTCCTACATGCCTGTAACTGTTGCCAAGTGGCTGAGCCTTTTGTTTTGTTTTTGAGATGTAGTCTTGTTCTGTTGCCCAGGCTGGAGTGCAGTGGCGCAATCTCGGCTCACTGCGACCTCCTCCCAGGTTCCAGAAGTTCTCCTGCCTCAGCCTCCCACCGAGCAGCTGAGATTACAGGCGCCCGCCACCACGCCCGGCTAATTTTTATATTTTCAGTAGAGACAGGGTTTCACTGTGATGGCCAGGCTGGTCTCGAACTCCTGACCTCAGGTGATCCACCTGCCTCGGCCTCCCAAAGTGCTGGGATTGCAGACGTGAGCCACTCGTCTGGCCGTGGCTGAGCCTCTTGTGTCTCAGTTCCCTCATCTGTAAAACAAGGATGGTGGGACTCTCTTTAATGTGGTGGGGATTCAGCACGTTAACACAGTGGGTGGCACACAGTGAATGTTTATTTACTTATTTTTCGAGATAGCGTTTCATTCTGTTGCCCAGGCTGGAGTGCAGTGAGTGGCACGATCATAGCTCACTCCAGTGGCACGATCATAGCTCACTGCAGCCTCAACCTCCCAGCCTCAAGCAGTCTTCCTGCCTCAGCCTTCCAAGTAGCTGAGATTACATCCAGGCACCACCATATATAGCTAAGATTTTTATTGTAATTTTTTTTTAGAGGCAGGATCTCTAAAAAACCTGTACCCTTGACCTTGAAAGTTAAAAAAAATTTGGGCCAGGTGCAGTGGCTCATGCCTGTAATCCCAGCACTTTCAGAGGCCGAGGCAGGTCATGAGGTCAAGAGATTGAGACCATCCTGGCCAACATGGTGAAACGCCATCTCTACTGAAAATACAAAAATTAGCTGGGTGGTGGTGGTGCACGCCTATAGTCCCAGCTACTCTGGAGGCTGAGGCAGGAGAATCACTTAAGGCCGGGAGGTGAAGGTTGCAGTGAGCCAAGATCACGCCACTGCACTCCAGCCTGGTGACAGAGCGAGACTCTGTCTCAAAAAAAAAAAAAAAAATCAAAAGATATCATCCCAGCTTGGGCAACATAGCAAGACCCTATCTCCACAAAAAATACAAAAATTAACTGGGTGTGGTGGCATATGCCTGTAGTCCCAGCTACTTGGAGGTTGAGGTGGGAGGATTGCTTGAGTCCAGCAGTTTGAGGCTACAGTGAGCTATCTTTTTGGCACCAGGGACTGGTTTTGTGGAAGACAGTTTTTCCATGGATGGGGGGTAGTAGGGGGTGGTTTTGGGATGAAATTGTTCCACCTAGATCATCAGGCATTAGATTCTCATAAGGACCACACAATCTAGATCCCTCCAATGTGCAGTTCATAATAGGTGCTCTTATGAGAACCTAACGCTGGCCGGGCGCGGTGGCTCACGCCTGTGATCCCAGCACTTTGGGAGGCCGAGGCGGGCGGATCACAAGGTCAGGAGATCGAGACCATGGTGAAACCCCGTCTCTACTAAAAATACAAAAAGTTAGCCGGGCGCGGTGGCGGGCGCCTGTAGTCCCAGCTACTCAGGAGGCTGAGGCAGGAGAATGGCGTGAACCCGGGAGGCGGAGCTTGCCTCCCGGAGTGAGCCGAGATCGCGCCACTACACTCCAGCCTGGGCGACAGAGTGAGACTCTGTCTCAAAAAAAAAAAAAAAAAAAAAAAGAGAACCTAATGCTGCCAGTGATCTG